CCCTCCCTCTCTCTCTCTCTCTCTCTCTCTCTCTCTCTCTCTCATCTCCTAACAGAGCTAAACTTTAGTTGTTGAATGGTTTTCTGCTTATGTTTTGTTTGAAATAATGCCCAGTGGAAAAGGACCCTGCTCTGAAATTGTACCCTCTGCTGGGATTTTACCTGTCTTTCTAGCAGAGCCATGATGCAGCCTGTGAACAGTTTTCTCGTGCAATTCTCTGCTATCTTTTAAGGGAGCGCTGCCCTGTATTAATCACTTTGCTACGATTTGTCCGTTTAGTGCCACCAACACTATAATTGTAAAAAAAAGAAAAAAAAGAAAACGACAACAACCATGTAATCTGTGTATGATCCTTGCTAGAAATACATACGACTAATCTGCCTAAATAATGCTAACTAAAATTGTCTGTCAAACTTTTTCTTTCTCTTGATTTTAAAAACAAAACAAATCCAATCAAACCAGAGCTGGGAGGCTAAAGGGCAGTGAAGCCTCCTCCAGTGCATGGGGAGCCGTGTTAGGGATCCCTATCATGGATTGGGGCCTGGACAGAGTGCCTTCTAAAGGCAGCATTGGGTTCGAGGCCTGACGGTTAGCTATAAAGACATTTCCAGCCCTTGAAAGACGACCGTATTTGCTCCGTATACTCCTGTTTTTGCAACCTGCTTAGGAATGGACTGTGCTTAAAATAAACCAATCAATCAATAAAGATACTAAAGCTGCGGAAAAAAAATTATTCTACGCAAAATGTGAACCCTACTCTTGTGTCAAACAGCATGGCTAACTTCTTTTCTGTTGGGACGAACTACCGTTAGGAGGGGAAGGGAAAGCCATGGCGACGAGGGTTGTGGGTCTCTTGAGGGATTGTATAAATTGTATGCAACATGTCAGATTTTCTTGAAGGTAAGACTGATGCTTTGTTCTGTTTTCCTTTCTCAAGTCTTTGCAATCCCTCTCTGTACTTGCATAGCGTATTAACACGATAACAGGAAGCCATTTCCTCCCCTTCCAGATAGATAGACTGCTTTTTCAGTTAGATCAGGGGTCTCCAACCTTGGCCACTTTAAGACTTGT